ATCAATTCATGGAAGATTAATCAAAATATTAATTCAGGAAATAATAATTTAAATATCAATTCATGAATTTTTTTATTGAATGATCAATTTATCAATCAATTATAAAAATATCAATTTCCTAATCAATTATTAAATTCAAGTTAGAAATCAATTATAAAAATTAAAAATTAAAAAAATTAGTAATACATTAATTAAAAAACATTTGATAACATTGTGATTTTAAAAAAAAAATTATAAATTTTTTTTTTGATTATTCATTGATCACTTCTTGTAAAAATCTATATTTTTCATTATTAACATAAAATTTAAAATTATGAAATTTGAAATTAACCATAAAATTTAAAATTACTTATTTATTATAGAAAAATGAAGTAATGAGTTTATTAAAAAAATCATCATTATTATTTTTTGATTTTTTGAAATGATTCACTTATTAATTTTCAATAATTTCAAAAGCTTTAATGTTTTATTTTAAAAATGAGCAATTGAATTTTAGAGTTTGAAATAAAAGTTTTAAATTTTAAATTTATAAATTAACAATTCAATTTCAATGTTTTTATTTATATTTTTTAATTTTAAAAATTTAATATTTACAAGTTATTTCTGGTATAATTTTAAATAAGTTTTTTTTATTGAAAAAAATTTATTTTAAATTACGATTAAAATTCAAGTTAAAATTTTAAATAGATACATCATTAAATTTATAAATATACCATAATGTTTGATTTTAGATTTGCAAAATAGATTTTAAATTTATAAAAAAGAATTTAAATTTAAAGTTAAATTAAAAAATCAAAGATAATGTAAATTAATAATATAATTTTTTGATTTTCATTACATTTTGTTGATTTTTAATTATTAAACTATTTACAAAAAAGTATTGATTCAAATTAAAAGTTGAAATTTTATTCTATGGGACGTGCATGAAAAAGATGAAACTTCTTCATGTTATGAAGATGAAGCTTTGGTCAACAAGCTAAGATGAAATGTTGCTATTGAGTGAAAGATGCATTTGCTAACTTACAACAAGATTCTGAAGCTGGTTGAAATCTCTAAAGATTAGACAATGATTGACTTCAAATGAGTGTTAAAATTGTAGTACAAGCCAACATTAGTATGGTGTGGACTAGAACAAAGTTTCTCACATGTATATGAAGTATGTTACAATTCCATTTGGTACGTTCACTAGTCGCGATATTCAAAATTCTTATGTATTAGATGGATATGGTTAAAACATTTCACTATGGATATTTAAAGTAACATATCTACATGAGACAACCGGTAGGCTTTGAGTTCAAAGTCCATGAGAGATTAGTTTGTATGTTGATGAAATCACTATATGGACATAAGCAAGCTCCTAAACAATTGAATACGCGATTTGATGAATTCAGGAAAACAAAAGATTATTTTATGAAGCGTGTATGATCGTGTGTCTACATGATACTTCTAATAATATACGTTGACGACATGATCATCTTGATGAAAAACCATTTCTATGTTGATGAATGCAAAAGTAAGTTGAAGTTTGCATTTAAGATGAAGTATTTGGGAAAGTCAAATAAAATATTAGACATGAATATTCATAGGAATTTTGGAAAAAAATACTATGATTGAATAAGGGAAAATATGTTTGTCGTATACTTGAAAAATTTAACATGGTCGATTCTAAAGGATTATGTTCTCATTTGGCAACACATTCACACTCTCTGCAACTCAATGTCCTACCGGGTTGTGGAGAAAAGAAGAATGTCATGTGTTTTCTATCAACAAGCCGTAAGGAGCCGCATGAATTTGATGATGAGCATTAGACCAAACATTGCTTTTGTGATAGGCAAGGTGAGCATACACATTTAGAATCAATGGTAGGTTCATTGAGAAGCAATGAAATGGATTATGATATATTTGAAAAGTAGTATGAATTATAGTTTGATGATCTATTAGACAATGTCAAATTCTTTTTATACTACTATAACACTAAAGTTTAAATAGAATTTTACTCACAGATGAAAATATAAACTCCAAAGATGAAAGATAATAACAATGATTTTACTATCCCTTGTATAGTTTTTACCAACATGTATAAAGATATAAAATTTTATCACCACCATCCATCCAACTCATAGTGGTTAGATCATATAGTGGATAAAAGTAACAAGCTCACGGATGGTTGACTTGTTGTTACCAACTAACACACTCAATCCTTATCTTACAAGCACATGGATTGTTGTCGTGTCACTATCAACTTAGCCATTTATTCTCTACCTACCAAGCGCTCGAATTCCTGACGTGGTAACTAAAACTAGTGCGCGCTAAAGTAACTATATAAACATTATGAGTAAACTCTTATTTAGTTTTAACTAACTAAAGATGGCTACAACTACGTTGATGCTGAATAGATACAGACAAAAATAGATCTACAACTGAGTATGTGTATACACTTGACGGTGGAAACATTAGTTGAAGTTCTACGCTGTAAAAATCCAAAACTTAGTCAACAAAGTAAGCTTACTATGTGGTAGAAACAAAGATAATTATTTGGTTGAATAGGTTTATCATGGAAATGAAATTGACATAAGACGTGGTCTATATTCGTCATGATAGCTAGATAGCTTTACATTTGATTGTGAACCAGGTCATGAATAGCAGAGCGAAGCATATTGGACATCAGATATCACTTCATTAGACAAGATCGACGATATACTCAATCTAGCGGATACTTTGAACAAAATTATTTATTTGAAGAGTTTTAGGTGACACTGTGTTATCATGGAGATTGTGCATTAGGAGCATAGGTAGAGTTTGTTAGCATAGTATATTTAATTATTTATTTAATCTATCTTGTGATGATTACGGTTTATTTATAGTTAACTCTAGTGTTAATAGTATTATCGTATTGAGTTTTTACTTAAATTTTCATGTGAAGTGATTATATAGGCTACAAGATTTTTATTAATTTATCTTTTTATGATTTTCTTTTAGTTGTAGTTAACTCTCGTGTAAAGAGTACTTGTGTTAGATTTTTGTCAAAAAATTCTCGTTGAATAATAATATAAGTTATAGAGCTTGATGTTGTCTTGACACGAGTTAAGAAAGAGATTGTTGAGTTTAACTTTGATTCATAAGAGTGCTCATGTTTTAGCTATCTATAACTAGGTTGGTTGTCGGTGTTTGATATAAATATCTCAAGGTTTATACTCTGTATAGGTTGCATTTAGTTATTGCTAAATTCTCTCGACTGTTCCAGATGTGGACGTAACACTCTCGAGTGTGAATCACGTAATATGTCTCTCATCTATTCGTGCATGTGTCTTTTGATTCACTTGTCACAAAATTTTTATATGCAATAATAGAGTAGTTGATTTATATTCAATTTATTATAGTAAACAATTAAGTAAAATTGTCCATGTAGTTTATAAGTTTTAAATAGAAAACTAAGTTGGTAGAAGAAATAAATGACAAATGATAGAAAGCAACAGGAGGAAAGCCGTTGCATAGAATAGCTCAAGCTTTAAGAATAATTACATATCTTTGTGTAGATATATAAATGAACCCAACATTGCTACATCTAATCATGAAATGCGTCATATAAAGAATATATAAAATGTCTTTACAGTTCAAGTTACTAGGAAATACACCTCCGAGGTAATAAAGTCAAGTATAGTGAATGTAGCAAAGAGAAAGCTTTTTTAAGTTTGAATTATGTATTGAAGAAAATTTTTTGAAAATAAATAGTGCATTGTTGATATAAGGAAGGTTATGACTTGCTAAGTTTGAGTTATAATGAATACGATTTATTGGAAATAAATCTGCATGTGATTGATATAACAAAGAGAATGACTTGTTAACTTCGAGAAATTCGTGAATGCCGGACGTTTGAAATAAATTGGTACACGGCATATAAAACTAATTCTAAATTTTCTAAAAATATTGATTTTTTTGCAAATTTACCATTGCCTTTCTGTAGGTTTAATAATCGCACGTTTGGCTCACTTTTCCAATAACGACATAATGCTTACTCTCACCATTTGGGCATTTCTAAGTTGGACTGCACGGCTGTTATCTTAAATTATCTGTACGTTTTGTATGGCACATAAGAGGGCTGATATGGTTCAGCATGAAGATGGGCACTTGCCCATGCGCGCACACATTTTATTTAATGAACATGGACATGCTTCATTCATGGAAGTGCTACGTCTTGTGCATTGGTTGTTTTGAAAGTTATGTAAAAAAAAGTTTTGAAACGAGAGGTCAAATTGCAATAGCAAGAGACGTTCAACTAAACACACTTTCGTCCGACCACAACAGTGTAACTTTGTGAATTTTTAGGGCTGATATCGAGTAACACATGTATGTGGTTTTCTCAACAACAATTTTAGCTTTCAGCTTGGATGCATCACAAGCTGTAAATATAGACAACTTACATCCATATTGAGAAGAGCATGCTTGAAGGAGAGAAATCTCATGAACGCACATGAATTTTCTCTATCATGTTTTGCACACGCCGGTTTTTGACTAAAAAGATATAGCAACAATTGCATACAAAACTTCAGTTAGGGTTTCATGTCTAAAACGTTATACGTTTCATATTCTCTCAATGTTGATTTGTTCATCTGATTTACTACGGACTCAGCATTACAAATTACAAACAATCAACGGCGTCTGTAGCCTCAGTATACAGAAAACGCCGAGGAAATTTTGTTTCCCATTTGAATATTCTAAATTGGTGGAGGAGAGTTAAGCCAAGACGTATTATAATGAAATGGACTCGAAAAGAACGAAAATGATGAAGAGGATGGAATGCGCATGATTTGTAGGGCGTAACCTCGAGTCCGAACATTCTCCAATGGCTCTGGTCTGGAGATTAGTACTGCCATGATCCGTCAACCACGTCGCTTTCGATCAACCGATTGATGATATGGATGGGGGTGGGAAGCAAAGCCTTTCCCTAAGAGTGGAGTACAAGGAAAGAACGAAGAGGTACGATAACCGTAATATGTTTCGTGCAAATGGGCAAATAAAATTTCGGATCACCGGAAAAGGAGCCATGTCAAGAGGGAACACAGGCTTCAACATTCCGAGCGGTGGGTCGGTGGGTGGCACCAAAGTCGGTCGAGAAGTCGGAGTTACTCGAAATCTATGAGTCGTCGACATCGTCGAAATATGGATGGATGTAGTTTCAGGCCGCATTTGACAGTTCGTCCTGCTGCTGCTGCTGAGGCAGGGTCTTTCTTTCGGTGAGGTTCTTACGAACGGGACTGTATTTGCGCCACGGCGACGCGGAGGATTTGAGGACTCGTGTCGCGAGAAGTGGTCGAGGGCCCAGTCTTGGGTCGTCGCTGTGAGCGCTAGCATCGCCTGCGATCGAATCGAATGCGAGCATCGACAGACATTGGCGAGAAAGACCTAAGATTGTGGAGAAGCTGTGGGGTTGCGATGAGGTGAACTGAGGAGAGCTGAATTTCGTGTGCCTCTTTTGCGATGAAGAGTTCGTCTAGGCATCGAAGTTCGGAGCGTCACGGCGAAGACGATGAGGAGAAGGTGTCGAGAGGCAGGAGAAGACGCCGGTCTCGGAGTCCTGTGTCAAGTGATTCTCCCTTCGATTCTTCGAATTCGGAGAGTAGTGATGAGGCTAGTGATGAGGAGTATCGCAGGAAGAGATTAAAGCGGAGCCATAAGAGTCAGGACGGGAGGAAAAAGAAGCGGAGTCATCGTCGGAAGCGTCACTCCAGCGATAGCAGTGAAGACGAGGAGAGCGATAGCGATTCCGACAGTAAAAGAAGGAGAAGGAAGAGTAGCAGGAAGCATAGGAGTAGACACGACGAAAAACGTTCGAGCAAAATCAAGGAAAAGGGAAGAGAAGAGAAACGGAAGAGGAAGAAAGGCAAGAGTGAGGAATTGGATTTGAAGGAAAAGGAGGAGCCGAAGGTGAAAGAAAAGATGAGTGCGTTTCTTATAGAGAAGGACAGGTCGGAAGATGAGGACACAGAAGATGTAGAGAGGAGGAAGAGTAAGTCGAAGCACAAGCACAGGAAGAAGCAGAGGGAGATGTCTCTGTCTTCCGAGAGTGATGGTTCGCCCGTTCACTCAGAAGCAGAATCCGAGGGTGAGTTCGATAAGGACCATGCCTTAGGTACGCCCGTAGAAATTGATGAAGAAGCAATGAAATTCAAGGAAATGCTTGAGGCTCAAAAGAAGCCTGCCATGGGGTTGGAGTGTGAGCCAATGGTTGGACCTGCCCCTGCACCGAGAGCAGAGGGTCACATTAGTTATGGAGGAGCTTTAAGGCCTGGTGAGGGAGATGCTATGGCCCAGTACGTGCAGCAAGGGAAACGTATCCCCAGGTATGCCTCTCCTTAAAATTGATAATTGTTTGTTTGACGAAAGAATCACTTAGTGTGAACTACACATCGTTGTTCGTCGTAGTTACTTCATCGTCAAATTAACTTGAAAGTGGTTAGTTTTTTGAACTTCTTCTACATTGCCTTGCATTCGAGTTTTGAAGTATGAATCAGATTTATTTTTGTATCCATCAACCTAGTTAGAAAATCAAGCGTTTTTGACGCAGATCTGTCTAGCCTCGATTTCATGTATGGTCATATCACTGGTCGACGGAAGCGAAGATAAGCCTGATAGCACTGTTCCTAAAAAGGCTGTGATTAACTTGTTCTGGAGAATCTCCAAACTAGTTCGCACCGTGTGCTTCATTGTGTGCTTTTCAATGTCATTGGACATTCTGGGATCAAATTGACAAGCATGCCTCAGTAGGGGATGAAAGATAGTAAGAAGGACTGTCACTAATTATCCGTTACTTGTACCATTAACATTGAGCGGCTACTAAAGCAGAAGTACATTAGTTCAGCCAGAGGCAGAAAGCCGAAAATTATATTCCAAGTGAAGACCTATCTCGACATTGCCCGGAAAATCTGCTGATACCAATGGCATATGCCGAGCTAGATAATCACTCCGGAAACAGGAAAAGGCAGGCGTTTGATAAGCACAGAGATTGTGTACACTGGTTCGAAGCGCCTCGTATTAATATTGGTGTGTTGGTGTCACAGGAGAGGAGAAGTGGGACTGTCTGCAGACGAGATCTCGAAGTTTGAAGATCTAGGTTACGTGATGAGTGGTTCCCGGCATCAGCGAATGAACGCCATCCGTATCCGGAAAGAGAACCAAGTGTACAGTGCAGAAGATAAACGTGCTCTAGCTATGTTCAACTACGAGGAAAAAGCAAAGCGTGAACACAAAGTTATGTCGGATCTCCAGCGTCTGGTGCAGCGTCATATTGGTGCTGATGTGGGCCCAACCCACGATCCTTTCTCCACCACTAAAGCAAATAATGGGGAGGCTACGGAGGCATGACAAGTAAAGGTATGGATGGTTCTGAAGCCTCTCATGAGAAAGATTTACGGTTTGTTAAACCAGTACACTTTTCCTGGTTTGACGTTTCTCTATGATCTTGAAGTCTATACCTCCGTCCATCGTAAAGAATCGGCAGATGAACGTCAAGGTGTTCATAAATGCATTTGTAATAGGGATCCATAGGTTTGAGAGGGGACCAACATCGAACATGGTCATTTAGTGTCGGTGTAGGTATTTTCAAGGAACTGGATTAATACGGATTTTTTGTTCCATTTTTGCCCCAATCAGACAACTCTGGAGGGTTGCATTTTTTCCAGAGGATAAGATTGAACAATGTGGAGCTCTAGCACGGACAGATGGGAAAACTTTCAACTGATTTGTCGCAACCTCATATGTTACTCGCGTGAAGAATGGAATATGTACTTCAAGGAAATACTAGTCATGTGGAGCTGGTTGCGTAAGCAGGGTGAAGACGGGAAAGGAGCATCTTGACAGAGTCTATTTTGCTCCTTCAAATACGCACTGCCCTGCCAACTCTAGCTGCGTGCACCAGATATTTGGCCCCTGTATATAATATTCACGTCGAGTCTCGAAGTGTTCTGCATGGTGTTCTTGTGCTGAGTAAGCCCCTCGTGGACTGGCAGTATTTCCGATAATTTGTACATCCAGAGACATACAGAGAGATTTTAATTGAGTGTACCAATCTGTGGCTACTTTTCGCATTTTAATCCCGAGAATGCCAGTATCAGACTTTCTGTGACTTTCTCTGCCCGATCCAAGTCAGACAGGCCCCTTTGATAGTTACGATACTCCGGTTTGACCCTTTGGGGCTCTTGTATGACCATTCAATATTTTTGGGAGGTTATTTTGAGGTGTCTGTTATCATAATCGTGTTCGTAGCCATGAATATTGGAATATTCTACTTGACTTTCACATCATATGGCGTTGAAAGGTTACAAAGTTTGAGGCGATCAAGCAGATCAATGCTGGTTACAGTTGTGAAAGTTGATGCTCAGTCTCGTCAGTCTAGTACATAACTGTTTTTGCTTCTGAAGTAAATCAGTTGAACATTTTCCGCGTTTATCAGGATAGCCGATTCGACTCATGATATTCCTTGTACGCAGTTGAATGCTTTTTTTGTGTGAATAAACAGGTGGGCTCCTGCGTAATTTAATCTCTCAGATCAGGTGGACTAATGCCTTAAGAATTTATCTCTGTACTCAGCTGATTGCCTGCATATAAGATTGCTGCTATCGTCATTCGTTCGTCTGCTGTCCATTTCCTTCACTTCTCAGTTTGCACCTCATGGTTTCGAGAACCGACATTGTTCATATGTGGCGTCAACCACTATGCTGCAACTGAAGTGGATTTACCCTTCGAATACCCATGTTTGACATTTTTGTGGTGATGCACATATGTGCTCCTTTGGAGGTCCTAGGTTCCTGATCTGTAACTAATGAGGATACTTCTATCTCGTAGCTTTTCCTAAAGATCGTGATGCTCAGTGTTTACGCCAGTATACTTGGTAATTCATTACTCTCTACACGCTCCTCCAATTCAAGTTTGCACGAAGAACTTACATACCAGAGACAATGGAGCGTTGTCACAGAACGAGTCTATACCCAGTTTTCATTTCAACGGTTCACGCAAGAAATAACCCTTCCGAATGAAGCATACAGATTGTAAATATAGCATGTAAGAGACGTCGGGAGACAACTTCTCACGATCAAAGACCCCACAATCTAGGATCTCAGTCAAGCTGTCTCCTCATGATTGAAGCGAGTTTAACGTCCGTAGTCTTGACTACTGGGAACATGCACTCCAGGCACTTCGTGCTTGGAGTTCTGACCCAGAACTGCCTAGTGGTTAAAGCATCCTGTAGCATATCTGTTAAGTTTATCCACCGGTAGGTACAAACAGAGATACAGCTATTTTAGACCATTTTGCTGGAAACAGACAGTTGCGGATTTGAAATACCTCAGAATCTAATCTCAGAGAATAAGCAACTACAGAGAGCCCGATAATATAATTTGCCAGAAAGTGAAATTGCAAACCATTATCACGAGATGAATCTGTCATTATAAAACTCCAAGGACGTGTTCCCTTTAAGGACGCACGAGACTTAAATAGACATCTTTGTTTCTTTTGAGGCTTAGACATAAATTAGAATCCGGGCCCTTAATTTTCCCTCCGAGCACGTGTTGACTTTGTCACCGTGTCCTTCGCTTATGTAGCTGAGGGCATCTGTGCTGATATGGCCGCAACTCTTTCCAGCTCAGAAGGAAATCGGGACTCTCATCATGACACGTGGACCTGCCTTCCAAGCTACACAGAAGGTTGCACATTGTTGCCTCTCAGAAGCCAGGGGTTATCCTAAACAAACACACAAACTCTTTCCGGCGTATGCGAAACTCGATGTTCCCTACAGGACACATGGACCCTGATCTTCCACCATCCTGCTTTATACAGTCACAGGCAAGTTTAAAGCACCTCGAAGCAAAGGAACGCCTTGTTCCTTCTCCCTTATGTAGAGTCCACACGTGGCTTGCACTTCAATTAAACTCTCGAATTTTCATTGGCTCGTTGATTCTACCTCCATCTAGTTTTTACTTGCCACTCAATGCCATGTTTTGACTTTTCTTGATCTTGGCGTCTTAGTGTTTCAGCTACAGGCACATCGCTCACGATTCCTGCCCCCCTATTCTGAGCAGAGTTTCCAAGTGCCATTTCTTTTCTCTGCTACTATTCAGGCCGATCCCATGTCCATGCCTCGGGCTTTCTCTATTTATTAGTGCTTGCATATGCATTCTCTCTAGTATCGGAAGAATTCATGGAGATTGCCATAATACTTATCATCTTCTTGTGGCTTCAAAGTTCATGCTATTTGACAGAACGAGAAGTTTATGTGGATAGTGACCATTCAGAAGGGCCCCGGCTTGCAAATATCAAACACTTTTAGAGTGCAAATATCACTCGCAGCTTTACAGATAGCGGTTGGATTATGTGGAACTTTCTGGTCCCCTAATCATGTCGTAGCTTTTAAAGTAAAGCGCGCGGTCAGAGGTGATAGGTCGGGATGAGGTTCTAATTTGACCGAAGGACCTTTTCTAGGGCTCTGGAAGAGGTTCACTTCTAATGTCGTTGTTATAAACAAGTTGGCAACCGAGAGAAGATAATATACGATTCTGTGAACATATCAAGATATGGTAACATATCTGAAGTCAACTAGAAATAGTTCTACATTTAAAAGTCACACTCTAACATTCCACGATGTCCTCTTCGCCATGTATCTGCTCTGCCATTCGACGTCTAGCACAATGTTGGAAAGCTCTGATAACATAGCTGGGTCTCGAACAACACATGTATTCCATATACACTTTTCCCCCTCAATTTGTACTGCACGCATGTTCTGCAGAAGAGGAACAACTCATGGCCAGTAATAGCATTTGACAGAACATGCAGATGAAACTTGTACCCACAACCTTTTCATACGATCCCCTACATACCGGCTATAAATACATTGCCACAATCTTCAACTTGGACAATCGTATTTCACAGATTTCTACTCTGAGCTGTGAATCTTCATTCAGTTCAGATTCATGAAACTTTTCGTTATTTTGCTGCGACCCTGCAGAAATGAGGATGCTTTGACATGTCAAATTGCCATGCGGAGTTAAGATTGTGCCTCGTCCATTAGAAGTTTGGCTATCTGCATCCATTGGAAGCAACCGGCGTGGACATTGAGATTGGTCGCTTCACGTGACATGGCAAGAACATGTCACACATGTTCGCATCTGCTACGATCTTGTCCGATTTTAACACATGGAGAAGATAGTGCCGATGCAATGGACTGGATCCTTGAGCAGTAAGAAGCTGATCTTCGCTTTGCTCCGGGCACCCCTTACTGCTCCAGCAGCTTTACACTTTTTTTGGTGGCCAGTGAGTCGGTGAGATCCTCATTCTAAAGATCGACGGCGAGGGCCAATTGTTGCAAGATGGGGAACAACACCCGTTACCACTTTGATGAAGACGAACAGCTCTCGAAAGCTTGCTGAGCAGCTACTCGAGAACAAAATCCATCGTTAGAAAGAGAATATAGTCCCAGCAGAACATGTTTCCTCCTAATGACTGTGTTTTCTTTCCGGTTAGTCTGTAAGCCCTTTTGCATTTACTTATCTACTTAGTAACTTGATAAATATTTGACCAATCTTGGATCAATATTTCTTTACTTGAGACCATGTAGACGACTTGTATTTCAAACATCGACCATAGCTCCAATCTTTATGTGATATTTGAACTCTTATCGTCCATGTAGTAAAATTTTATCATGGTCAAATCCTTAACAACATCTTTCATTGATTATGAGAATGAGTGAGCAAAATAAGATGAATGATCTTGCGTACAAAAAATCATTATAATCTTTAAAACAATGGAGGAATTCCAAATAGATCGAAGCAACAATTATATGATGGAGATAATACCTAACACAACTTCTCATACATACATATGTTGCTCAATATTGGTTTGTGTTATTATGGTGTTATAATTATGAGTATGATCTTACATGCATTTTGTTAAGAGCTAGATGATAAGTTTTAGACATTATTAAATAAGAAACAAAAGATTGGATATATGTTGTAAACATATTTTCTATTCATTGAGATTTGTTCAAACAAATTAAAAGACTAAACAAAATGTTCATATAATAGATGAAATAAAAAAACACACATGACTTTTCACCAATTTTCATATCATATCAACAATTTGCAATAGATGTATGACATAGAAATTATAAAGTGATAGAAAGTGAAATACTTAAATGGCTATCTAAAGCATCTAAGAAAATGCCATCAAAATTATGAAACTTATTGTGCACATTTCTTCAGACAAAAGATGAATTTTATAATTGATAATCAAATTGTTTGAAAAAATATGTCATACTATTTTTCAAAAAGACTCAAAATTTATTTGTAAATATACACATGCTTATATTTAAATGTGTATTCATGTTGCATAATTGACATGAATATAAAACTAAAATTGAAAAAAATAAAATCTTATCAAGATCCCAACTATGTCACAATCATAAATATGGGATGTAGTTATATAAACAACATTGTTCAAACCTAATAATGGTGAAAATAATTAAAAATTTGAAATTTAAATTTTATGTTGTAAAGATAATTTTAAAATTTGATAATTTTATAATGAATTGGATAAATTCATTAACATAACAGTATTTGATTCAAAATATAAGTTATATTCATTCACTTCCTCATTCGAATTAAATTTTTTTCAAAAATTAAAGCCTTAAAAATAGAAACATGTTACAACTTTTTTTAACAAAATATTTGTACCAAAAAAAGTTGTAACATGCTACTATTTTGAAGCTATAGTTTTTTTAAAAATAAATCATAAAAATCTACTCTTCAAATTCTCCTATCATAGTAAAAAAAACACATAAAACTATGTATATCTAAAACATTTGATTAACATCAGTTGCAATTTTTTGTACTATGGTTATTTAAATTAGATATGAAAATAACAATAACATATTCTATCATTGACTTTGTTAAAAAACTTTAGAGTTGATCTTATTTGAGTACATATATGTTTTAGGTGTTTAATGTCATTTTTTAACTGTAACATGAAGATATCAAGAAATTCAACAGTCATGGCTATAGTATTTCGAAGAATTGATTGACAATCATTATTTATCATCAATTTACATATAACTATCACAATCTATGAATGATATGAATTCATATATTTATTCCATCAACTTTTGTTCTTCATCTTGTATCAAATATAAGATAGAAAAGGAATTTTGAATACTGAAGATGTTGAAAAATTTCAACTTTTTGATAGAAAACTGAAATATTAGATTGGAGATAATTATCAATAATTTCTTCTAGTCAACAAAAAATTTAAATGATCATTTATTCATGTCAAAATATCTTGATAAATTTGCAAATTTTATCAATTTAAAATGCAATCAAAGCAAGGACTTTATTAAAAATTAAACCCTGTATTCTTTGACTATATATATATATATATATAAGCATTGAAATAATATTTATAGAATGTTGATAAGCATGAATACATTTTTTTATATCAATAAAAGTTATTACGAAGGTTAAAAATAAAATAAGTTTTTTTTCACAAAATCGCATG